AATAAGACCAAACTGTAAAACACTCAGAAGAAAACACAGGCATAAATCTTTGTGATGTTTGGTTAGGCAAAGCCTTCTTAGATATGACATCAACAGCAGAAGCAATAAAAGAAAGAAACAGACAATCTGGACGTTTATCAAAATTAAAAATTTTGTACTTCAAACAAAACCATCAAGAAAGTGAAGGGGCACCTGAGTGGCTCAGTCCGTTAAGCATCTGACTTTGACTCAGGTCATGATCTCATGGTTTATGAGTTTGAGCCCCATGTCAGGTCAGCTTGAGCCCCACATTGGGCTCCATGATGTCAGCATAGGGTTCCCTCTCTCTCTCCCATTCTCCCTCTCTCTCTGCCCCTCACTCACTTGCGCCTGCCCTCTATCAAAAATTAATTAACTAATTAGTTTTTAAAAAGTGAAAAGAAACCCATAGAATGAGAGAGGATATTTGTAAGTCATTTGTTGGATAAAGGATTTGTGTCAAGACTACACAAGGAACTCTTATCACTCAATAATAAAATGATAATTAATAAAGAGATAATAAAATAAAATGATAAAGAATTTAAAACAAAGAGAAAGGATCTGAATAGACAGTTCTCAAAAAAAATTTTTTAAATATACTAATGGCCCAGCATTACCTTGATTCCAAAACCAGACAAAGACCCCATTAAAAAGGAGAACCACAGACCAATTTCCCTGATGAACATGGATGCGAAAATTCTCAATAAAATACTAGCAAACCAGAAACAACAATACATGAAAAGAATTATTCACCATGATCAAATGGGATTTATCAAAATCCGCAAATCAATTAATGAGGTACATCACACTGATAAAAGGATAAGAACCACATGATCCTCTCAATAGATGCGGAAAAAGCATCTGACAAAATACAGCATCATTTCTTGATAAAAACCTGCAAGAAAGTAGGGATAGAAGGACCATACTTCAAGATCATAAAGTCCATATACGAAAGACCCACAGCTAATATCATCCTCAATGGGGAAAAACTGAAAGCTTTCCCTCTAAGGTCAGGAACATAACAGGGACGTCCACTCGCACCACTGATACTCAACACAGGGTTAGAAGTCCTGGCCTTAGCAATCAGACAACAAAAAGAAATAAAAGGCATCCAAACTGGCAAGGAGGAAGTCAAACTTCCACTCTTCGCAGATGAAACGATACTCTACATGGAAAACCCAAAGGACTCCACCAAAAAACTGCTAGAACTGATCCATGAATTCAGCAAAGTCACAGGATATAAAATCAACGTACAGAAATTGGTTGCATTTCTATACACCCATAATGAAGCAGCAGAAAGAGAAATAAATCAAGGAACTGATCCCATTTACAACTGCACTATGACCATAAAATACCAAGGAATAAACCAAATTACCAAAGAGGTAAAAGATCTATACCCTGAAAACTACAGAAAGTTTATGAAAGAAATGGAAGACACAAAGAACTGGAAAAGCATTCCATGCTCATGGATTGGAAGAAGAAATATCGTTAAAATGTAGATACTATCCAAAGCAATCTACATAGTCACTGTAATCCCTATCAAAATAACACCAGCATTCTTCACAGAGCTAGAACAAACAATTCTAAAATTTGTATGGAACCAAAAAAGATCCTGAATAGCCAAAGTAATGTTGAAAAGGAAAACCAAAACTGGAGGCATCACAATTCTGGACTTCAAGCTAGATTATGAAGCTGTAATCATCAAGACAGTATGGTATTAGCACAACAACAGACACCTAGATCAATGGAACAGAAGAGAGAACCCAGGAATGGACCCACAAACGTATGGCCAACTAATCTCCAACGAAGCAGGAAAGAATATCTGATGGAAAAAAGACAATCTCTTCAACAAATGGTGTCGGGAAAATGGGGCAGTGACACGTAGAAGAATGAACCTGGACCACTTTCTTATATCATACACACAAATAAACTCAAAGTGGATAAAAGAACTAAATTTGTAAGACAGGAAGCCATCAAAATCCTAGAGGAGAAAACAGGCAATAACCTCTTTGACCTCAGCTGCAGCAACTTCTTACTTGACATGTCTTTGGAGGCAAGGAGATAAAAGCGAAAATGAACTATTGGGACCTCATCAAGGTAAAAAGCTTCCTGCACAGCAAACAATCAGCAAAACTAAAAGGCAACCGACAGAATGGGAGAAGATATTTGCAAATGACATATCAGATGAAGGGTTAGTATCCAAAATCTATAAAGAACTTATCAAACTCAACACCCGAAAAACAAATAATCCAGGGAAGAAATGGGCAAAAGACATGAATAGACACTTTTCCAAAGAAGACATCCAGATGACTAACAGACACATGAAAAGATGTTCAATATGGGGCGCCTGGGTGGCGCAGTCGGTTAAGCGTCCAACTTCAGCCAGGTCACGATCTCGCGGTCCGTGAGTTCGAGCCCCGCATCAGGCTCTGGGCTGATGGCTCAGGGCCTGGAGCCTGTTTCCGATTCTGTGTCTCCCTCTCTCTCTGCCCCTCCCCCGTTCATGCTCTGTCTCTCTCTGTCCCAAAAATAAATAAAAAACGTTGAAAAAACAAATTAAAAAAAAAAAAAAAAGATGTTCAATATCATTCATCATCAGGGAAATACGAATCAAAATCACAGTGAGATACCACCTCACACCTGTCAGAATGGCTAGCGTTAACAACTCAGGAAACAACAGATGTTGGTGAGGACGCGGTGGGAATGCACTGTTGGCGGGAATGCGAACTGGTGTAGCCACTCTGGAAAACAATGAGGAGGTTCCTCAAAAAACTAAAAATAGAGCTACCCTACGACCCAGCAATTGCGCTACTCAGTATTTATCCAAAGGATACAAAAATGCTGATTCGAAGGGGCACATGCACCCCAATGTTTATAGCAGCGCTCTTGACAATAGACAAATTATGGAAAGAGCCCAAACGTCCATCGACTAATGAGTGGGTAAAGAAGATGTGGTGTATATGTACATAGAATACTACTTGGTGATCAAAAAGAATGAAATCGTGCCACTTGCAACAGTGTGGATGGAACTAGAGTGTATTATGCTAAGCGAAACAAGTCAGAGAAAGACAAATATCATATGATTTCACTCATATGTGGAATTTAAGACACAAAACAGATGCACATAGGGGAAGGGAAGCAAAAATAAGATAAAAACAGAGAGGGAGGTGAACCATAAGAGAGTCTTAGGTACAGAGAACAAATTGAGGGTTGCTGGTGGGGCGTTGGGTGGGGGGCTGGGCTAAATGGGTGATGGGCATTAAGGAGCGAACTTGTTCGGATGAGCACTGGGTGTTATATGTAAGTGATGAATCACTAAATTCTATTCTTGAAATCATTATTAGACTGTATGTTAACTAACTTGGATTTAAAGAAAAAAAAAAAAGAAAAAAAACATACTAATGGCCAGTAAGTCCATGAAAATATGCTCAGTATCATTAGTCATTAGGGGTATAAATCAAAACCATAATGAGATCATACTTCACACAACACTAACATGCCTAAAATCAGAAGGCCAGATTTGTGGTAAGAGTGTAGGGAAACGGGGTGCCTGGGTGGCTCAATCGGTTAAGTGTCCAACTTGGGCTCAGATCACGATCTCACGGTTCGTGGGTTTGAGCCCCGTGTTGGGCTCTGTGCCGACAGCTCAGAGCCTGGAGCCTGCTTCGGATTCTGTGTTTCCCTCTCTCTCTGCCCTTCCCCTGCTTGTGCTCTCTGTTTCTCAAAAAATAAACATTAAAAAAAAGTTTTTTAAAGCAGAAACAGCCCAAATGCCCATCAGCTGATGAACAGGCAGAAAAAAGGTGGTATATCCATATGATGTGGTATTATTTGGCAATAAAAAGGAATGAGGTACTAACACATGCTGGAATATGGATGTACCCTGAAAACAGTACGCTGAGTGAAAGAGGTAGTCACAAAAGAACAAATACCGTCTTATCCCATTTATCTGACATGTCTGTAACAAGCAAATGTACAGAGACAGAAAGACGAGTGGTTGCCTTGGGGGACAGGGGTTAGGGAGAACGGGGAGGGACCGCTAACGGGCACAGGGCTTCTTTCAGGGATGACGACAATGTTCTAATACCAGATTGTGGTGCTGGAGGCCCGACCCCGTGAACATACTAAAAGCCACTGAACTGCGTGCTTCAGATGGGCGAAGTACGTGTTAAGTGGAGGAACCGTGTGGTATGTGAGTTACACTGCATCGAGCTGTGAGCAGCCATTTCCCCACAGTGTGACCATTACAGAAGCACTCTCAAAGGCGACGTCGCATTCCATCACCCTGGGGGCCTGACGCCCGGCCGGCCGCGGGCATGGAGTGCAAGCTCTCCTGGCATCTGCGCCCCCTTCACCACCCACCGCGACGTCCACTCTGGCACCCTGCACACGGTCGATGATCAGTGATTATCTGACTTCTGCTTAGTAAGCTCTTTCCCCACAGATAATCGAAAATAAACTTGAACTCGGTAACAAGGTTCACAAATGCCAAGTCAGCGATGAACGGCCTCCCCAAATGCCCCTCTGTACGTTTTCTGAAACGTTGGAAGTATGGCTGTTGGTTACAAAAAAACCTTTTTCCTGGAAAACTACTTATGGACATTGATGCCACGGATAGAAACGAAGGCCCTCTTTGGCCTTGACGATTTAACATTTGCAAATTACCAGACTTCCGAACGGATAACCTGGCAGAGGAATCAAAGACACGCACACAACCGCACGGAAGTATAAATTTAAATCAAAAGGTCTTCCACGGTCACCTAAACCAATGAAGGCTCTGCATCGGTTTATTGTGACGGAACGAGGTGTGAGCAGAAATGAGCGTCTGGTGTCGTCGTTGTTGGGAAGCCGGGAGGAAGGGTGAGCGGTCAGAGGAGGAGAGGACAGTTATGTGACAGCGCGCGGGAGCAACAGGGCACCGCGGCCATTCTGCACGGTTTCATCCGGTCGTACTATGAGCCCTTTCTCCGAACGTGACTCACCAAGTCTATAGGCTCGATTAACGGCTGGTCTGGTTGAAATACGGAATCCTCATTTTCTTCGCCATTCTTTTTGCGAGACATTTGTTTAGAAGGCAGCAAGTTATACCACAGAGTGAAAATCTCATTGGAAAACGGTAAGTCGGCCAAACTGATCTGAGTTCCAGCCTATGTGAAATGAAGGGGGCGGGGGGAGCAAAGAAGAGAGAAAATAACATGTTTAAATTCATATTTGCTTCCTCTCATACAATTAAGATTATTGGGAAAGCTTGTGTTAGGATTTAAAACATGCAATACTCATGTTCTAAAGCATCGGTGGATTTTTTTTTTTTTTTAACCTGAAGATGTCTTATATTTTTAGGTGCGACTAAATAAGAAAGAATCCCAATCTAGAAGCCAACCCTAGGATTATTTTGTGAGATACTATTTTGCCAAAACCTAATGACAGAGCATGCAACTTTCTGTACGTGTGGAATTATTTTTAAATGAAAAGACAAAAAATGAAAATTGAAAGAGTAAACGACGAAGCAGAAACCATAATACCTCTTACAATATGCTGCAACATTTGATTATTACTCACAAAAACCCATTGTCCACTGTAAAGTTCAAAAACAAATAAAAACTCTATAGTGGTTCTTAAATGAGAGACCAGACAGCAAAATTTTAATTTGGGTAAGTTAGTAGTACGTCAAAAAAAGCTTTTACATTCCAGTGAATCACACATATGAGCCAGAATCTAACTGAACTGTATCATTTTTTTTAAAGGAGATTAATTAACATACCTACTAATTTTATAGCGCTCCCGACATCTGTATCTATTGTGCTACACGCCTTTCTGACAGCCTAATGAGTCTGTCTGTTAGCTTTGCTTCTTTTTTTTTATTCTCAGGTAATATTATCAAATATTGTTTTCATATAAAGAAAAGGAAATACTTACAAGAAGTCTCTCTACCTTTAAAAATTTTTTTTTCAACGTTTTTATTTATTTTTGGGACAGAGAGAGACAGAGCATGAACGGGGGAGGGGCAGAGAGAGAGGGAGACACAGAATCGGAAACGGGCTCCAGGCTCCGAGCCATCAGCCCAGAGCCCGACGCGGGGCTCGAACTCACGGACCGCGAGATCGTGACCTGGCTGAAGTCGGACGCTCAACCGACTGCGCCACCCAGGCGCCCCAAGTCTCTCTACCTTTTAAACTTTGCTCGTCATGAAGCGTGTTTTCGTGCTTCCCATTGGACCGCCAAGGAGAGTCAACCAGAGACCCGTGCTGTTGCTGAACGCACGGGCACACCTCTGGAGGCTCACATCTGACCCCCCTGTGTCACCTGCCCGCTGTGCAACGGTTCTCTGGTTATTATGTACAGTGGTGAGCAAAACTCACTTTTGGTGACATATATAAGTCTTTTGCTTTAGCATTTAAATATCATATTCCTCTCAACAGCAACACTGAAGTCTTCCTAGAAGCTGCAATGTCAGGACTGGGGAGAATAATGGGACTACACAGTCAGACTCCTGCCTGATTTCAAACTGTGACGGTGCATTATGCGTGGGGTGCGTTTTGATACCTGCTTCCATCCCTCACCAGCTGTGTGACCCCGGACCCGCTACCTCGTATAGCAGTTCTTTATCTGAAAGGAGGGTCATCATACCTTTTCCCTAGGACAGTCGCGAGGATTAAATGACAGAACGCATACGGAGCACCGAGCACAACACTCGTGCTGGGAATAATAAACACGCTCGGAGTGACAGTCGTGACAGAGCTCAGAGTTCGGCTTTAGCCAAAGGGTAGACTGGGTAGGTTTCCAGAAAATCACAGTTAAGAAGCAGATTTGAAAGTTCTTGAATAAGAGGATGAAAACCAGAAATCACTACTCCAGATTAAAAAAAAAAAAAAAAAAAAAAAAGGAACCCGTCACTGGGTGTGTCCACGGCACTGGGCGGATCTAGAGCGGTATCGGGGCTGGCAAACGGCAGCTAGACGGCTATTGTCAGGATATGCAACCAGGGGTGTTACTTGATAATGGTTAATTGCAACACGACCTACCAGGCATTGTTCACTTTGGTGTTTACTGACAGAGCAGAGATCCACTCTCAGCGTCTTCTGCTGTAAGGCTGTTTGGGAGATGGCCACCCGGAACATATCGTTGAACAGAATGGATTCTGTGGCTAGATGGACTTTCGTTCGAAACAGACAGCTGACGTCAGTTGAGGAGGGAAGCAGAGCAACCCTGAAATATCTGCGAAAGAACAAGAGTAAAACGGATTTCACGCGCACTTCAGTGATCCCAGACTCACAGTTATCGTCTGAAATGATCCGCAAAAGAGAGAAACGCGGGAACACGGAGTTCATGGTCAACCATGACTGGTGCCATAACGGGTCCGTCCGCGCTCGGCGGCAGAGGGGGCCGTGTTTGTGACCCACCCGGGCGGGCTATGCCCCAGCCTGCCACTCGCCACAGAGCTGCGGCAGAGGCGCACGATGGGAAAGTGAAGAGGAAGAAAATCTGCGGGGCGGACGAATTTAACGTCCCACCTGCCCACGTACAGCCAATTCCAAAATAAAGCTTCCTGAGCCTGGGAAGACAGAATCATGCTGTCTTTGTCCCAAAAAATATTCACCCTCAGTGTTACACAAGAGGTGTTTACGATCATTTCCCAGGAATGGAATACATTATCCTACTAGTGAAAAAGAAAGGCTAAGTAGCATATAAGAAAACTTAAAAATTTTAATTGTCTAGCATCACGGAAGTTTTAGATGCGACAAACTGTTTTAAGAGGCTTACACTTTGTAAAATTCGGAGGAAGAGTTCGCGGAAAACGCTAACTTCTAACACTACCTTCAAATGATTTTTCTAAGCACCCGTTAGGTGAGGGTTCACAATTCTTAGAAACAGCGCGAGGTATTTTCTTATCAATCCCAGAAAGAGAACACCCCTTGAGTCCCTCCCCCACCCCCAATTCCAGCCTTGTCTAATTCATACTCTAAAAGATGCCTGTCTCCAATTATGAAAGCTGTAAATTCACGTGCAGGGCCGAGGCACGTCACGTTATTTCCGTATTTGACATCGACACTGATTACGGAGGTTCAGCATTAGTAGACTAGTGGGCCTTGGCCGAAGATATTTCACACAAGCTGTCACTTTTTGCAGTGTCATTATTTGGGCCAAGGCGTTCAGGTACGGGTTTAGGAATGTGGCACTATGCGTCTCGGGGAAGTTCAGACCAGTTAGAGGAGTGACTGCCTGTGAGCTGGCGGGGACAGGGGGTGGGGGTTGCAGAAGAGCCTGCTGAACTCACTGCCTGAGTGCTGACACGGGTCCTGAGCTGTGCTGGTTGTCACCGTACCTCAGGGGCGCTTTGTGACTCCCTGGGGGGAACGTGAGAGTGACCGGAGTGGCAGCGGCAGGACATTTGGGGAGTCCTGCCCCGACAGGACGAGGTTGAGAAAATGCCTGATCTTGGGCCCTTCTGTGGTTGTCTCCTGGGCTTGTGGGCTGGCTCTCCCTGTTCATAGGTTCGATCCCTGGGGGAACCGTCATCTCCCAGACCCGCCACCCTGAAATGAAAAGGCTGCCAACGCCCCAGTATGTCCGCGTATTTACTGGCAGGGAGAAGTCACAAATAACAATACGAAGCCAGTCTTCCCTGGCTGGACTTCCTAATCTCAGTCCCGGGAAGCAGGCTCTCTGGGGTGATCCAGATACTCCCCAGTAAGCATTCCTTCTTTACTGGTCTTGCTATTAATGCGGATCCCACCCACACCTTGACTCAGGAGGTCCTGTGAGCCCACTCCCCCCCTGAAATCTTACGCCCCTCCGGCTTTGACGATCATTAACACACAGACACCCACTAGCTCTAATCTACTGCCTACTGAATGATCTCCATCTAGCTACATTTTTATTTAGATCTAGTTTTTCTCTGACGATTCTTAGAATATTCAGGTGTGGTTAAAAGTAAACCCATAGGGAAAGCATCCAGAACTCTTACATTTACTCTGTTCAATGTCTTTCTCATTGAGGAATATACTCTTATCAATGAGAAAAACATCCACCTGGCTGGGTACAGAGTCTGGGGAGGGGGGAGTCACCCCTCAATAGGATTTTCTTCTTTCCAAGCCCTTGTACTGGCAAACTGAACATATTATTGAGTGCAAGGCTGTAGGACATATGGATTCTGGATTCGAAGTCAGAGGTGCTCAGTTGAAATCTGGCTTCTTTCTGGTGCTCTATAGCCATGGACTGTTAAGAGAGTCCCTGAAACGCTGACTCCAGAAAGTGTGAATGGTGGTAAACGTTGCTAGAGATACCTGTCAGGAAACACAGTCCCTAAGCAACAGACTACGGAGCAGTAATGACATCACTTCATTTGACGACGTGAAGTAACTTTAAGAAATTAATGGTCACGGGGAAACGAATACTTGATGTTAAGGACGCGTTACACGTAACACGATAAGGTGTTTGGCAAAGTTGTACTGATAAATTTAATCACCACATTTTCTTGTAACAGATCAGAAAATCCCTGCAAACCAACAGCGGTCATAATTAGGCAACCACAAACATTTTAATTAAATTAAACAACAACAACAACAACAACAACCAGGCCCCAACATAGCACAATATAGAATTTCTGGCTGTAAAGGGAGATTCAAAAATCTTGGTTCCCAGGCTAATTAACGAATTGGCTGCATAAGGATCAACATCTAATATGGTTTTTGCACATTCTGCGATTCTTTCTGTTTTATCCACTGTGGATTAAGACGTGGTCGGCCCGGCCATGTCCTTCTCATCTTTATCTGGATGAACTGCTCGGTTACAACGGACAATTTATCAGACGGGAACAATTTTCAGTTCCCCTATTTGTTCTTCGCTAATTTTACTTACACTTTTGAAGTGTGAGGTATCAGGAAGGCATGGAGATTTCGGAGCTGTGCTAAAATCACCATGAAACTTGACCTTCTGGCATCATATCTGTCAAGAGAGGAGCTGATGAGACCAGGAGAGAGCACAGGCCACTCGACGCTGCACCGAGTTCCAGAACACCGTCCGTCCCCGGGGGGCCTTCCCTTACCTGAGTCCGATCTGCACCTGGGCAGTCTCCACGATGGTGACATCCCCTTCACTGTACGGAACATCTTCAACTTCACTAGGCCTAGGGACAGGGCGACAGCGGGTGTAGGGGACCCATTTAGGAGCAGGGGTATTGACCGTGATGGTTACCGTTTGCCACTTAATGATTCCGAATGAAAACCTGAATTCACAGCCCTCCGACACCACCCAGTGGACCTGACCCCAGTGAAAGCTCACTCTTTTAAATCTTTCTTCACCTTTTCGAGAGCAGTCTGCTTCCGAACCTTGAGGGGAAAGACTTCCTGATGCCTGAGACTTTCCTGAGCCTCCTTGGGGCCCACCACACCCGGAGACATACTCCAGGCTTTCAGAAAGACACAAGGAACTTCATGTGCCATTTGGGTACCGGCCAACGCCTCCAATATTCTCATTAAAATCAAGTTTTAGGGGCGCCTGGGTGGCTCAGTCAGTTAAGCGTCTGACTTTGGCCTGGGTCACGATCTCACAGTTTGTGGGTTCGAGCCCCACGTCGGGTTCCCTGCTGACGGCTCAGAGCCTGGAGCCTGCTTCGGGTTCTGTGTCTCCCTCTTTCCCTGTTCCTCCTCCGCTTACACACTCTCTCTCTCTTAAAAATAAATGAACATTAACAAAAAAAATTTTTTAATCAAATTTTAAATCTCCAAGCGGGTCAGGTAGGATGTTTTTGGTGTACAGAAATTTTCAGGCACCTCACCTCTTTAACACAGACGACCCTTACCCCCTCTTAAGGGCCGACGACCCCTACCACTGCACGAGCGGACTAAGGGCGCTGGTGCACTCACAGTCCAGAGTCCTCCCCCCACCCCAACCTCCGTGAGCAGCTATGAGGACATACAGGGTCACCGAAAAGCACTCCCGCTAAGTCCTTACTGTTTCACGAAGGCTTCGTAGACCCCGCTGTCTCCAGCCACAGACTCATCGGACACAGCAGCTGACACGCAAGCACTTTTCTCCCCAAGCAAGTGGATCGCTCTTCTTTTTGGTAATGATTTTTCCACATCTAGGGAGGGGCGAGCGATAGTTCCTCTTAGGATTTATCATTCAGAAAAGTTAAGTATAAAACCACACCCGCGGTTTGGTCATGAGAAATCCAAAACACTTCCTTCCGCCTGAGACTCCAGGACGTTGCCTTGTGAATCAACAGATGTAGCTGATGCGAGGCACCGGGACTTCTCGGGACGCCGGTTAGTTTGGTCGTCGTTGGAGAGACTACGGTTTTCCTCTGTCCTGGCGGACGTGAGGGGAAGGGGCAGACGACAGACACCCTCACGGGGCCCTCGCCTCTGTCACTGCAGTTACCACGCACTCGGCAAGGAGGCCGCGTCCCTCCGATATTAAAGGTGTTTCTGCAACAGAGGGTATCTAGTACTCAATGGCAGACAGGCTCCTGCCTCTTTTGCCCTCCCCTTCTCTCCACAGGCCATATTCTGCGTCTCTCACAGAAGTAAAAGCAAAAAAAAAAAAAAAAAAAAAAAAAAAAAATGTCTTTGACTTCTGGAATTCCTCACCGGCTAACACCGTTGAAAAAAAACTTTGTGCCACTGAATCCTTAGCACCAACTACCACTTAACTTTTATCTGTAACTCATATTCATACTCTGCATCCTGCAGTGAGCCAAGAAGCGTTCATTTAAAGCTGCGATCCTATGTGATAAGCAGCAAGCCTGTGGAGCGCTTTCATCCTCCAGCGAGGGAGCAGGGATCAGGACTGGTAGGCATTTCGCCCCCCTTCTGAGTCGTGACTTTACATCTTGTTAAGACGGTTAAGTTTTACGGCTTCAGATCACGGGATTGATTGCTGCATTTCCCCTTTCATTTCCGGCGGCGGGAATGCTCTTTCCTTGATGACGACGTGCCGCTCTCCGCCCACCCCCCACTTTGTGAGGGGTGAAGGTGACGGCACGATTTATTGATTCCCCCCAGGAATATCCACAGCAGCTGAAATTGACTTTGACCATGACAGAGACCGACTGGAAGGACTTCGTTGTCATTCCGACGGGGTCTCTGGCCTGCAGCCAGACGCGCATAAGGGAAGTCCGACTTGACCTGCGGAAGACTCCAGAGTGGTGAGGGGGACCGAGCCGTGTCACCCCCATGGGCCGCCCGCCCCCGCACGGAGGGCGGACGCTCCCTGAGAGGACCCAGTGCCGGCGATCTGGCCTGAAGGGGATTACTAGCCTTTACGGTTAAAAACGTGCTTTTTAGTTGTCTTCGACACTGGATACTCTTCACAAATAAAACTCTCGGACGTAATTCTTTTAGGGGGACTTTTTAGTAGCAGCTTTCCGATCGAATATGCGTTTCAAAGCTAAAAGCCGTGTCCCGGAAGCTTCCGCGACACTGGGCTCCGGACACGGACTTCTCGGACACAGCCGCAGACCCAGTGGCAGGAGCGAGGCTACGGCCGGGCAGAGGCCGAAGGACCCAGGTGGGCTCGGACCCCGGGCGACTGTCGGGCCGGCCTCCCTGCCCCGCCCCTGAGAACTGAGTGTGGAGAAGAGTCGCTAGAGAATTCCAGACGCACAAAGAGGGCAAAGAGCCGAAACGCTCAAGATCCTTCAGGTCCAAAGCACAGACGAATGGCACAGAATTCTGGTGACACGGTGGTATTAATCACGTGAACTGAGGGCCGAGCGCCGGCGCAGGGAGGTGCTATGACACCCGTCCTCCCAGGACCCCACGAGGTGGACACGGTGTCACTCCCACTGTGCAGGGGAGGAGCAACAAGGCGGACGGCCTGGGTGAAGCGCTCACGCTCACTGCACCAAAGTAAGAGCGCAGGCCGGAACGGACTCCGGGGCCAGAACGCACGGCCCACACACCCCACTCCTTTCCGGGGGACAGGAGGGCGGCCCCACAGCTGGCTTCTGCTCCCTCCTGGCCACTAGGGAAACGCCACTCCTGTGCGTCTTGTTTCTGATGCTGATGATCTGAATGAACACGGGACTTGTAACTTTGGCTCCTTCCAGGCAGCGCCGCACAAACCACACCCGCGTCCCGCGTGCCCTGCCTCTGCCCCTGCTCCGGGCCACCAACAGGTGGCGCTTCGGCCTTCAGTACTAGAAACCACACAAACGCGATGGATCTGCCTCTCTCTTTAAACGTCTGAGTTGGCCAATCAATTCATGCTTAGAATTCTTAGGACCAGAAATACAAAACAGTCTTCTCGAAAGGGCAGGAAAATGCTTGTAAAGAGGCCTGTCCCCTCGCGTGGGCGCACGAGGTAGCCGAGTGCAGATCGGAGCGGGGCTCCTGGGGACCAGCACTGGGGCTTTTCTTTCACATTCTGTTCCGGGCGAGCTCCGAAACCCACCGTCCTCCTCAGGCCACAGCTGTGGTCATTTGCCAGCAAGGCAAGGCATCTTGTTTCCTTTACAGCCACACCGAATATATGGAAAGCTTCCGCCTTGCAAAGGGATACAAACATGAAAAGAAAAAGAATTCGATTCTCCCTCTGTTTCTGTGGCGGACTACAAAGGCAGCAGTGAGAAAGTCAATGGGCAGCTCCTTCCCCGGGGCTGCAAAAAGTAACGTGGCCACAAGATGGCAGGGTAACACCGGCACCTCGGAACCGGCTTTCCCCAAATTAACTTGAGGCAGAAAGGGAGAGTCTGGCACGAAACAAAAATTGTATTTATATAGAATTCCCTGAGCAGTCCAAACACTGAACCCCGGTACTAATTAGCTGGTATGCTAATTGCCTTGGTTTTAATCTGTTTTAGAGCGACTTTTAAAAGAGAGCCCTCTTCTTTGCCTTGCTACTTCTGAACGAGAATCTATGTGGAAGTATGACGTCTGTTCACAAAACATGTTCCCAGCCAGCTGCCACCGTACAGAGGGTTTCTGGACAACAGGACAGATACTTAACGATTAAGTCTATTAAATAGGGAAAGTGACTTTTAGCTGTTAAAGAAAAAAATGTCTAGTCCGGGTATATCAATAAAAACTCCTCCTCGAGTGAAGCCAAAATGAATTCGCAGCAGAGAAGGGGGCCAGCACAATTTGTTTATGTGGAAAACGTGACCCTCCGGTCACTCTTCTGAAAATAATTAAGAGGGAAAGCGTGGAAGCAAAGGTCTCGGCTCACCTGCAGTTCCTTCATACAACGGCTCCCGGGCGCATTCGCTGAGGTCTTTATCCTCTGCGAGAGACTGGGACGCTCCTCCTGAGTTCGAGTCCAGCAAGATCTGATTGTCACCGAGGCCAATGTCTGCAAAATGGCTACTCAATTCACAGTCTTCAAAGTCAGCAGTGAACCGATGGAGAGGGACATCGTGGGAAGACATGGGGAACGTGCCTTCCAGAACCAGGGGGGAGCCGGGAGGGGACAAGGAGGAGAGGGAGGACCGTGAGGACAGGGACGTCACAGACTTGGGGGCCTCAGTCCGTGGGGGAGTGTGGCCTGTGGCTGTGGCTGCTGCCCCACAGAGGCCGCTCTGACCAGGCTGGCTGGGGGACTTGACCACCTCGTTTTCATGGATGGTGGTGATGGGTCCAGAAGGAATGTAGCCGCCTTTCTCCTGCAGAAGGAGGTCCAGTTTACATTGATAATCCGCGTCTACCTGGTCGCTCTGGCCGGTGTAATAGAGCTCTCCGGAACTGAGGGAGCTGAGCGACCCTCTGCTGGAGGTGTTCAGAGACCCCCGGCTGGAGGCCAGGGAGCCCAGGCTGCTCCCGGACGACACGGACAGGGTGCTGGCAGAGAGGCTGAGGGGGGGAAGCACTCACTGTGACATCTGGTACGACACGCAACACCCAAGCACCGCGCCCTCCGGCCCCTCCGGCCCCCCGAGGCGCCAAATAACGTCATGACGGGGGCAGGGTGGGGGGGGGTGGCTGCCACTATACCACCTATAGCCTTGGTGACTCCTGAGCACTTTCAGGCTGGCTCCCTGAGTCCTCTCAAAATAGCAGTTCTGTTCTGACTAATTTCCCTGTTGCAAAATTAAAAAAGAAAAAAAAAGTGATAACTACTTATTGATAAATCTACCTGCACAGATATCGAGAAGCAACTACGCAGTTTAATAATGTGGAAGGGGGAGGGGCACCTGGGTGGCTCCGTTGGTTAAGCGTCCAGCTTCGGCTCAGGTCACCATCTCACGGTTTGTGAGTTCTAGCCCCTACGTCAGGCTCTGTGCTCAGAGCCTGGGGCCTGCTTCAGATTCTGTGTCTCCCTCTCTCTCTGCACCTCCCCTGCTCATGCTCTCTCTCTCTCTTTCTCAATAAACACTTAAAAAAACTTAAAATAATAATATTGAAGGAGGAGAAAAAGCATAGACGGTAGTTAATGCAGTTATTCTGCTTAAAGAATAAAGCTTTTAGTCTCTAGAGAGGGAAAAGGCAAGCTTATAAGAATAAGGGGGTTGCACACAAGCCCGTCTCCCTGTCCGTTCCTCTCCTCTGTGGGCACACTGAAGGAGCGAATGGGCAGTTAATTATTTGAAGGCAAGTCATCCCCGCCCTCCCTTTTTCAAGGAAAAGGCGAGGTGGAGAAATGTGTCCTTTTCCTAAGTATGCACTCATAGCTAAAATAGATCTTCTTCCCACAACGTATTTCACACATATTCCACATTGTGACCTTGGGGTTCGTGGGGAAAAAAAAAAATCTATGCAACTTTAAATTTGATCATCCAAGTTTCAGCTGTACAGGCATCACTATTTTATTTACTTTCAAAGAGTTGACCCAAGTCATCAAGGATGGACCAAGACATGCCTGAATGTTCTTGTTCCCTCAAGGGCCGAACAGGCTTACCTTTTCAGTTGTGAGTGCAAATAAGTAGTTAATTTAGTAGTCTCCTCAAGTTTCTGTAGCAGCTCTTTCCTTCGCTCTTCCAACTGCAATCTGGAAAAAAAGAAACAAATGCATTTACTTCCATGTAATTACGGTAAGGCGTGGAAACCGAAGGAAAAGATTCTGATTCCATAGACATTATTTTTTTTTTTTAATTTTTTTTTCAAAGTTTATTTATTTTTGGGACAGAGAGAGACAGAGCATGAATGGAGGAGGGGCAGAGAGAGAGGGAGACACAGAATCGGAAACAGGCTCCAGGCTCCGAGCCATCAGCCCAGAGCCCGACGCGGGGCTCGAACTCACGGACCGCGAGATCGTGACCTGGCTGAAGTCGGACGCTTAACCGACTGCGCCACCCAGGCGCCCCTGATTCCATAGACATTATGTGCCACGAGGGGGAAATCCCAATGGGTCGGCCAGAGAGAAAACAGAAGGGCAGTGAGGAGTGAGGTGGGCATCAGAGTCCACAGCCACGCCAGAGGAAGAGGGACACCTAGCCCGAGTCTCCAACTTTACTGGGAAGTTTAAAACTTTTGATAACCTGCTATTTTCTTAAATGGCTTAAAAAAAAAAAAAAAGAAAAGAAAAAAGCCCCTGTGCCCTTATGAGGTAGAGAAAGACAGCGAGGAGGAAAACCACAAACCACTAACACACATTACAGAATCCTTCCACAGGCCTGGGACCTGGGCTTAAATTACTACGACACTTGACAGGAGCGACAGCCAATCTGTGAAGGACCACCGTGAGGGCTGGAATTGACAAGGACCGTTCCGGACTAATATTTAGTGACAACAATTCCAATCTTACTTGGATGAGAATTTCAGCGATTAAGAAACAAATTAGTCCATATTGCCAGCGTGAGCTCATTTGGGCTTAACAGTTTAAACAAGGAAAAGGCACAAAAGCGATTTCGGTTCCTACCGTAACGCATCTCATCGCCTGTGCCCATTATCGTGAAATTTCATCCACGTTCAACCGAACAAGTTAAAAAAAAAAAAAATTTTTTTTTGAGGGTTAGAGAACCGTGTTTTTGACTAAGTTATTTTAAGACGTTAACGGGCCTGTGGTAAGTGTCAGCTGAAGGACTTCAGACGTCCCTGGCCTGAGCCCGTCCGGCGCGGCCAACCACGGCAGAGTGGGACCCAGAAAACCACCAGGGTTTCCAGTGGATTTGCTGCTGTGAACCGTGTGTCCTTAAACGAGTCACTTTCGTCAAGGGGTCCCAGTTTTCTCCTCTGCAAATCGGCGATTAAAATCCTACTGTGTCTGCCCGCGAGGGCTGTTAAAGGGATCAAATGCAGTGATGTACGAGAAGGTACTCCACAGACATCAAAACACATGCTTTTTGTTCAGAGCCTCAGCACGCCTTGCAAGGTGGGGATATAAAAATTAGCGATTTTTTTTTTTTTTTGGAGAAAGAGAAAATCTCCCTAATTTCTCACCTCTTTGAAATGTATGTTTTAGGCAGTAAGGAAACATGCCCATATTTTATTTATAGCTATCTGTCCTTTGATGTGTCACCCACACAATTTCATTATATGTTAAAATAAAAAAAAAGCAATTCTTGTCATTTTGTTTAGCACTTCAAAGCATGATAAATTCTTAATTCCCAGCTTTCAAAGGTGTATTTCGAAAAGGAATACAGTCCCTATTTTTTTTTTAATCTCTTAAATATAAACAAAAACTCAACGGGGGAGAAAATGAATATGAATTAGATTAACTGAATCAGAAGGTATAAAGGTCTGGAGAAAGCCCAAGAACCTACCCAAATCCATGTCTGCCGAAACAGGAGAAACATCGTTAGATAAGTTTTAAAACTAAATCCTGCTCGAACAAATGAAGGCTTTTCCAGTGGGTTAAGGAGGCCTCGGTATGATATTACCGTGTTTCCTGCGAAATTTAGCATCCAAAGCTTTCCACCTCTCAGGCACAAGCGACGGCCCCATTGCGGCCTCCCCCAGCCGACTGCGAAGGCCCTCTTATGGTCACTTGAACCACTGAGACCCGGCCTCTTGTTCTTGTTTGCATGCTCCCCAGTCAGACCCGAAGCTCCTGGAAGGCGAGCCCCAGGTCTGCCCGGGCTGCCTGAAGACACTCCCTTGCGCTTGTGTCTTTGCTGGGAGAAGCACAACGAAGCACCCGGGAGAGTCGCAGAGCCCTTCCCGTGAAGTGGCCGTCCTCGGTCAAGCACCTGGCCCTCGTCTCCGAGGGAGTCACTGAAGCCCGCAGCCTCCCTCAGATCCCAGGGGTCCTTTGTAGGAAGCGTTCTCCCCAACTTCCTCTGGACCAGGGATAAGAAGAAACTGCTCAGGTATCAGCCCCTTCCCGAGGGTGCATCCCAGGCTCCGCAAGCCCTTCTCCAAGCTGAGAAAGGGTCATTTCAACTCGGCCCCTCCCGCTGGTCCTACCGTCCACACTCTCCATTCCTCTGCTCTACACAAGACCCGGGCAGGGCCTTCACTCCGCCCTCTCTCTGCCCTCACTCCCTGAGAGACAGAAGCGCCTGCCCGAGGTGTTTTAAAGACTGATGAAGACGGATGATGACTACCCAGAACTTTCCACCTGGGGAAAGTGTCACGCCACCTATACAAGTGAGCCGTTCCTTTTCCGTTAAAAAAATAAATGACACTCACACCCCCACCTACTTGCTTTAACATTTGTTCAGAAGCAGAGACAAAAACATTCATATAATTAAGGAACAACGAAGACATCTCGGCAAGATTTAAGACGAGATTTGGGAGAAAAGAAGGAGCTTTGTTAAGATCTTATCAGCTGCGGAAAAGCGCAGAGGTTTTAGAATTTCAGTAGCTGTATGGAGAGAATACGGAAGCTGTGTGAGAAATCCTAGACGCCGCGACGTTTTTCATTTGAGAACCACTTCTCTCTGCTGCTGATCCCTCACAGGGAGGTCTTCCTCTTCCCAAACTGCTTTGCCGCCCTAGGTGGGAGCATCCTCGCCTCATCTGAGTGCTCTGCCCACAGAGCGGTGGTGTTGGGGGCACAAAGCCGGGGGTCTCTGGGGTCACGAAATTCGGGAGAGTTTATAGCTCCTTCAGAGATGTAAATTCAGTCATGGCTCAGAATCTTGCCTGAGGCCACCCCCCCCCCAAATGATGAGAAACCCACAACATAAATGGAAAACGGGGAGAGTTGGGGGGACCCGGAAGTGGTTTCTTTGACGGCCGTGCAGATGCCAAGGGGAGACGGAGGGGTTTCGTACTGGTGAAGCAGTTTGTTCTACGATGAAACCAAGGCTTGTGCGGTGACCCGTATTTCCCGGAAGTGTCTCCGGCCACCACCTGCTGTAGCACCGAGGAAGCCCGCTGTTCAGAGCCACCCTCTTGCCTTCTAAGACACCTGTTTCGGTTCAACAGTAACAATAAGCAGAGCGGAAATACTCTATGCACAGACAGTAGGAGGAAATAACGCAGAAGTAGAAAAGGTGACAGAGCGCAGGGGAGTAAAGGAGAACCGCTGACGACAACAAACTCCAAAGCCGACCCATCTGGGTCTACTCGGGCAGCAAAAGACTCGGTGCTCCCAGAGTGCTCCCTTCGGCAGGTGGCTCTGCTCTTTTGGACATGGGAGACGCCGGGCCGTTTTGCATCCAAGGACAGCAGTGAGGAAAGTTTAAGTTGCTCAAGCAAGAGGGTGTTAGTCCCCTCAACCTCAAACTACGACACAATGATGGAGATTTGCTTCTGGCCAACAACATACTACGAATATAAAACATACACACTTCCCTTCCTGCTAACGTTAACATCCGATTGTGGGAGACAGGGTCACGCAGGTATCCTGAGTCAGGAGGAGAGTCAAACTGCCTACTCCCCATCCAATACAAAACCCAGGGCTGGATCTCACTAAATTGGTACTTTTTTTTATGTATTTCATAGTTCCTCTTCCTGAGGGGTGCACACCTACTGTTTCTGCTGGGATCTGGGCAGTTATTTCCAGTTATTTCTTGGATTATGCGCAAGCCAAAGTACGAAAGCCAAAGCCTCGGTGCTTGGGAACAAACTATTTCTAATGCTACTCCGTTAGTCATTTTTGAAGTTCTAGCTCTAGTGAAAAAGACAAACAAGACGCTACTCTGATTAAAACAAGCACACACCTATTTTCTCTCTCCCAGAACAAACGTAAAGGCCGTGTAGAGGCCCTTCCCAGACACACACCGCAGACAATGGCTGGGACGCACTTGGCCCCGTGAGGCCTGTGTCATTAGATAACACTCAGTAAGCGTGACACAGGACGCAAATACGCTTGCTGCTTTGCGCGTGGGCCACACAAATACTCATTCTGTCCTATTCACTGGTGATTATCAAACTTTTACCCTAGAAATTTAAGACCTGTAAACACGGACAGGACATCAAGGTAGTTCAGGAATACAACGGGGCTCCGCCTCCTCTCCGGAACTTTTTGTTCCTTCTGCTCTTTGTTGGGTGTATCTTTCCCTGGCCGGCCTTGCTGACATCTAGCTTTGGGGAGAGCCTTCAGCCGGCACTGCTAGACAGAGATGTGTGGGCAGGAGGGGAGGAAAGAAGCGGCAGGTGGGCAAGGGGAATTCTTTCAGGAATGTGAGGTGCAGAGGCTTTCCCTTCTGACGCGTGTGCCTGCTCCGTAAAGCTGTGGCCAGGCATTCCTCTCGACCGGCATTTAACTCACAGAAGTCAACTCTCCCCAGGCGATTAAACTCGGGGCAGGCAAGTCCACAGGCCAACACCTACCCGGGAACGTCAGCGGTTCTCCTTCCTACTGTTTCCCGCGCCACACTTCAAATATTTTGGTATTATGTAGACACACAACCTTAAGGGGACAAGGAATTAGAAGGCAAGAAGCCAAGAAATTAAAAAAAAAAAAAAAAAAAAAAAAAAAAGGCGGTTGGATTATGGCTGGGTGTCTTAAAGTTACTTCCAGGTCACTTGAAATTATATGAACGTGACCTTCCTCCCTGTCATTCCGGGACAGGCACTGCTCCTCACCTGCTGGCCTAAAGCGCTTGCTGGCGCAGTGATTTTTTTTTTTTTTAACTTTTTTTTTTAACGTTTTTATTTATTTTTGAGAGCGCGAGACAGAGAGTGAGTGGGGGAGCAGAGAGAGAGGGGGACACAGAATCGGAAGCAGGCTCCAGGCCCTTAGCTGTCGGCACAGAGCCCGACGCGGGGCTCGAACCTACAAACCACGAGATCAAGACCTGAGCCGAAGTCGGACGCTCAACCGACTGAGCCGCCCGGACGCCCCTGGTGCAGTGGTTCTGAAAGGCTGCACGGTCCACGGCTGGAACAGGCGTCCGTCCGGGCCACGTCCGTCAGCGAGGCCTGGACATGGGGCTCCTGGGCACAGCGCCTGCCTGATATTCCCGCTCACACAACTGGCTGTTTTACGTGGAGTGGTCAACTCACACCCTCCCACAGAAAGATCGGGAAACTGCTTCAAGTATTTCCCTTTACATCTTCACCTGCTTCACAGGAGGGTTTCGACTGACAAACCAAATCCAAGCGAACATTTTGTGACCTGTTAAGACACCCAAAGGGAGCAAGTTGTCTTTGCCTTGTGAAATGAAAGGCAATAAACTTTTGCATTCCTGTGAGTCGTAAAACCCAGAGTAGGAAGCTTCAGTGGCTCTAACAGTCCAGATAATCTTTCTTATCAGGGTGCAAGAGTTTATAGCCATTGTTATCACACTCAGTCAGCGACATACTGCATTCCTGGTTTTATGTCCACATTCCTTACTTATTCAACGTCTGTCGTGGCAGTTCACGTTCCCAACAGGGGAGCTGACACCACGGGGCCTCAGGAGGGCAGCGCTCCACCGCCGTACAGAAAGAAAGGCCCTGGGTGCCGGGGCTCGGGCCACTAAGGACGGCCGCAATGCAGATTTGCAGAGACCGGGGGCACGGGCACCCGGGCACGGGAAGACACACCCCCGGGGGCTGCCGGGCCCGGGGCCCCAGGGAGGAAAACGAACCTTTCGGCCAGCGCCCGGCTCGGCGGACCCCTCACGGACAACAGCTCCTCCTCCAGCCGCTGCCTGGCGGCCTCCAGGTGCTCCAGTTCATCTTGGGTGCGTTTTTGTGGGGTGACAAACTGCAGCTCCTTCAAAAGCTCTTCTTTCTCGTTAATCAGCATCAGCTTCTCCTTCTCGATGTCCAGCGCCCCGGGCCAGGTCTCACTGTCCAGTTTTGACAGTTCAATTTTCAAGTTGGCCATACTAAAATGAAGCGATAAGAAAAGGGGTGCACAGACTTAGAACTCCCAGGAAAGGGAAGACACAACCCAGCCAAGGCTGGGGGTCTAGATGCCCTCCCGACTCTACCCGGTGACCCTCCCCGGGGGGGGGGGGGGGCGGTGATCGCCTGCTGGGAGGCAGGTAAGAGCCGCAGCCCACCCTCCAGCCCCGGGACACCCCACACCTGGCTTTGGTCTGCTGCATGTTCCTCACCTTTAAGACACAAGTAAGCAAACCCGCCTAGCTAAAAAGAAGAGGGAAGGTCAAAGTACACCGAAGCTTAAAAAGCAGAGAGTGCCGGGAGCCCCGGGCAGGCCCGCCGGGACGTGCGACTGCCTGGGTAGGGTGGCAGGAGGGATACCCAGATGGCTTCCGTTTAAAAAAAAAACAACTCAGGTAAATGATGGCTACCGTGACATCACTATAGGTTTTGTTCCTCTGGGTGAAGACGCTGTCCCCTAGTAAGATGGGGGTCCCCGGGGTCGGCTGGGGGGGGCAGCCGGGTTATCAGCCCATCGGGGAGGATGAGGGGAGAAGACGGAGCAGTGGCTTGGCTGACCAGTAATACAACAAAGTCGATCCAGCAGGCTCCGCGTCACCAAGGGAAAGGGAGCAGCCCTGCCTCGCCCCAGGCCTCCTGCTGCCCGGAAGCTGTGCACTGTGACATCGGTGCCCACGCCGCTTGCGGAGCACTCATGGAGCCAGCGCCGCAGACATCCCCGCACTTGACCCGGTTTCCCTGAGTATGCAGGAGCTGTCCAGGAGCACGCAGCTCCCAGTGGACCTTCGCCGGCACGGGCAGCTGAAGCGGCTCCACCACGGTGACAGCAGGTGGTGGGGTGAGGGGGACAGGGATGGGGAGAAGGGGGAGGAGGAGGAAAAACCAGCAGAGGGGAACTTCACTGGTTTCATAATTTTGCCTGACCTCCGATTCTACTATGTCTACTGCTTAACGCTAATTGGTAAAGTTAACTTCTGACTGAACCAGAATGTTCTGGGGGCGTGTGGGTGGCTCAGTCGGTTAAGCGTCTGACTCTTGGCTTCCGTTCAGGTCATGATCTCACGGATCGTGAGTTCGAGCCCCGTGTCAGGCTCTGTGCTGTCAGTGTGGAGCCTGCTTGGGATTCTCTCCCTTCCTCTCTCTCTCTGCCCCTTCCCCACTCTCTCTCTCTCTCAATCACAAAGTACATAAATAAACTTAAAAAAAACGTTCTGACCGTCTGAATCAAAGAACTTGCTCTGCGGCACCGTGAGGACCATCAGGACTGTTCACGAGGTAAATGGCACGTGGCTGTTTTGACCACGAGCACAACATCAAGGTAAGTTATGAATGCAACTGATGTTAGCACAAGGAATCTATATTCTTTTTTTTTTTCCTTTATTTTTTGTTTATTTTGGGACAGAGAGACAGGCATGAGCAGGGGAGGGGCAGAGAGGAGACACAGAATCGAGCAGGCTCCAGGCTCCGAGCCATCATCCCAGAGCCTTGGAGACTCCCTGAACTCCTGACGCAAGATGCAGGCCTGGCTGAACCAGGATGCCAACGACTCGCCACCACATGGGAACCTATATTCTTATTAAAACACAAAGCTGAGAGCCTGGGTGTGATGGGTTAAGCGTCGAGCTTGACTCAGGTCATGATCTCACAGTCAGTGAGGTTCAGCCCAGCATGGGGCTCTGCTGACAGCTCAGAGCCTGAACCTGAATTCATGTCTCCCTCTCTCTGCCCCTCCCCGTTCATGCTCTGCCTCTCTCTCTCAAAGAAACAAGCCAGCATTAAAAAAAAAATTAAAAAAAAAAAAAAACAAAGCTGGATGGTTACTTTGGATGCTGTTACAGCACATACTAGAATATGAGAAGCAGATAGAAAGGGGTTTTTTTTTTTTTTTTTTAGACAGAAGAAGTTGTAGAAGGGAAGGAAAAAGATGAACAAAATAATGTTTTCTGGACAAAGATGGAAGTAGTTCCACAGTTTCTGGTTTTAGTTTAATTTTTTTTTTTCAACATTTTTTAATTTATTTTTGGGACAGAGAGAGACAGAGCATGAGCAGGGAGGGAGCTGAGAGGGCCACAGGGCTCGGGAGGCAAGCTCAGGCTCAGGCCATCAACTGAAGCCAGACGGAGACTCGAACTCAGGTACCGAGGATCATGACCTGGCTGAAGTCGGACGCTTAACCGACTGCGCCACCCAGGCGACCCTGGTTTTAGTTTAAAAAAAAAAAAAAACCCACCAAAAACTCCCATCTTAAGCTGGCCCTGCATATACAACGTACTTGTGATTTTCCCCCACCGTCTGCACTTCCCATAGATGTAACATCAGCTTTAACCACAAAACCATACACAACTGTCTCAATGTACTAGAAAATTAATCATCAAAATGCTAAATAAGCATGATATTATTAGCTTCATTAAGCACATAAAGGCTGGAGGAGAAAACAGGTTGCAGGGAAATACAACCCGCCTCTTTACGTACTCGGAATTGACGAAGAAAAGCATTTTAAACATATGCACAAACCCTCGAGATCTACCCTCTCATCAGCATCGCTAGTAACTTTAAAATAAAACCCCAAATGGTAATAGGCCAGCAAGGCAACCAAGTGGGAAAGAACCAATGTCTTAAGTTCTGATGTGACTGACTTAACAACAGAACTGGGAGCGACGACTTAATGAAGGAAAGAAACGCACCTATTACTTGCGTGATCGGGCATTAGGTGGGTCTTGAATTTTATTTGGAAAGAGCACACCAAATCTGGGGAACGAGACATGATGAAGATTTCTGGGGACACCCAGGGGAGAGAAGAGCTGTGTATAAATTCCAGATGGAATAAACTGTTAGCAGCAAAAGTAAAGCGAAAGTTCAAGCTGATCCAAGGGAAGTCAAGTGGAGCCCCAGAGAACCCAGGGCATGAGGCGTGGTTCTCCAAAATTAATTCTGAGTTACGGCCACTCTCCTTCAGAACACCAGATACAGTACGCTCTTTGTTTACAACAGAGCCCAGGAGTTGTGGCTGCTAAGGGGTTGGTGTGCTCACAGCTGGAGGGCCGCAAACACGATCCACCAGAGGCTTTCACGTCACCGGGCCACAAAACCACAAAGCAATCCTCAATCCTTAGGGTGGAGGGCAAGGCATGGCCTGGGCACTGAGAAGCAGCCAGAAAGTATACCGGATTTTTCAGAACCTCAGGAAATGTAAAATCTGACAAGGAAAACTTACAAGCATTAAAATCAGCTGAGTGAAATGTTCAGAGAGACTAAGTGACTTGTTCAAACTCACACAGTTAATAATTTGTGGAACAGAGCTTAGTTAGGGTTTTTTGTTTTTTTCGGTAAATCAAAGAACCCAGTAATAGCAGTAACAGAGGCTATAAAGAGGCAAATTCTGTGTTTAGGCAAATCAAACAATTGCTTTGTTAAAGCCAGATAACCTCTAAGAATTTTTGCTAATTACTTTTAAATAATCCTCATCACCAATAATAATGGGTATACTTCAATATCTATCTGATGGTCTTATAGGAAACTGACATTCTAGCAGGTTCTCAGCTGAGCTTTTCATGTTCTTGAGGAGGAACATAAGCTTCTCTGTCACCTACAGGGTGACAGTGAAGTTTCTCTCCTGCCAATGTCTTCCCAAATCACGAATCAGTAGCATTTTTAAACTCTTAAGAGGAAAATAATGAAATCAAACATAGCTGTATGACCCTCCCCCACAAAATGAGCAAGGTGTCCGTATTATGAAAACAAGGTGAGCCTGTGCACTGGATGAGGAGGGAGAAGTCTCCTGAACCTTCCACAGAATCACGAAGCACGAAAAGAAAGCACAGGGTTGTAAGGGAATGGAGGGAAATAGAATCTCTCCTTTGCCCCGAAGACAGTCGCAGGGACAGACACTGCAGCATCTTCAAGCACCTTAGCAGGAAGTCTTCCCCTCAAATCAAAGGAATTAAAGCTATTTACCTGAGAGCTCAACTACTATTAAGTCCTGTACCTGAGCCGATATCACAACTCCACCTAAGCAGCCAATCTTCCCGCTTGTACTTGTGAGTAAGGATTGGACAAGTTCAAAGCTTCTTTCTTCCAAAAGACAAGGGGGCAATTTCATGCCCACACTTCTCATTAATTCTCCTTTTCCTTCAGCTTTGGGGTGAGGGGGAGACAGCGAGCAGAGGGGGAACTCTGCAACCCTTACATCTAAAAACCCTGAAGAGCAGACCTGGTAAGAAGGCGTGGGGAGCACCCAGCAGATGTCACTATACGAGTAAAGATTAATTCTGGAAAAGAAAATACTGTTTGCGCCCGCTGACCACCGAACGCTGAATAGCTCCCCTGTTGTTACCTTCTTTTGGCTTCTTCATACTGTAGGCTCAGCCTGACCTTTTCAGCTAAATTTGATCTACTTCTCACTCCGATCTGGTAAAAAACAAAAGGGAAAAAAGTCAATTAACTCTGCTAATGAATGAAGGTAAACTGCTTTTGTTTCTAGGAAGCACAAGTAATTGGAAAACTAACGAAGATGGTCTTGAAATCAGGAACGCCAGTTAAAAAGACACTTACTTTCCAGTCTCAGTGGGGGCAAAACATTTCTTTTTAATTCAAGCTTGTCTGTTTTTCAAAGACTTCAACATCATTTTCTCCACACATCAGATTCAAGATAAAAAGTATCATGTCAATGTTTCCGGTATCTTAGAGTTTACGAAGGGAATACGGGTCAATAAAATTTACGAACTGAAACTAATTTCGTCTCCATGAGCCAAAATTTCCATCATTTAGCTTCCAAATGCATGATATTAACTAAACAACTTCAAAAAATGATTTTTCAAACAGGTAAGTCCTACTGTTGATCTCTGCCTGTTTTATTTTCATAGCACAGAATTCAAGGACGCAGAACAGAATACGCAAACTGGGGGAAAAGTAAATGTCTGCTAAACAGCATCCCAAAGAGAAGGCAAAATAGTTAATAGTTTTCAAAGCCATAGTAAATATTTTCAAATGCTGGGCATAAACCATGCATGCATTTTAATATAAACAACCTTGGATATTAAAAAAAAAAATCTGTTAGCTTTTAAAGGCATATTTTTTTGTTTCTCATCAGCCTCAATGTTTAATTGAAAAGATCGAAATTTCTAAGACTCTAAATTTAATAGGGAAAACTTAAATTTTTATGTGTCTGTAACCTTTCAATAATGTCTCTGAATAAATACGAGAAAGTCTGAGCAAAACCATTCATACGGACAAATCCTGATACATGTGACATCCAGACAGAAAAGATAAGCCTCTTATTTTTAAAACCAATCTCTGAATATGAAATATTGAACCCACACAGTTGGAATTCAAACCACCTAGTGAGCACCCGTCCCACTTGCCATCCATGTTGTAATTCAGGCCCATCATTGCCAGCGCTGGGGCCAACCGTTCACGTGGGTAACTTACATCTCCGGAAATGCTGGTTTGTGACCCAGCATCAAGGGTCTGTCTGGAGAGAGATAAATGGGAGTTCACAGGACTGGACCTCAAATCTGGCTCGGATGTGCCCGTGCTCTGGTCCAAATGGAACCGCTCCCGCAGCTTAGCGAGACTCTGTTCAGGAAACACAAAGTCTTACGTGAAACTTAACATTTAGGATGGCAAGACTCACCCAGCAGGTAAAATTAAATTGAAAGAAGTGATCCCGATAGGAAAAAAAAACCAGCTACTTTAACAGGTATGTATCACTTTAAATTATTGAAAAAGTAAGATTAGAACCTAATTTCCCACATACACCCGTGTGACTCTGGAAGTGTGTGAGGTCACAATAAACAGATTATCTTACCTTTCCCAAGCTGGAATTATTCACACTGTGCTTAATGGCACCTTTACATTTAGTACATACATTTCTTATTTTTAACAATCGAAAAGATTTCTATTTTTAAAATTTATTTATTTTGTAAGGTTTATTTATTTATTTTGAGAGAGAAAAAGAGTCCAAGCGGGAGAGGGCCAGAAAGAGAGGATGAGAGGGAGAATCCCAAGCGGGCTCCACGCTGTTAGTGCAGAATCCCATGTGGGGCTCAAACTCGCCAACCGTGAGATCATGATCTGAGCCAAAACCAAGAGTCGGATGCTTAACGACTGAGCCACCCAGGAGCTCCAAAAAGATCTCTATTTTAAAATGACTCATCTTAACTACTCACTTCATACAGCAGAAATTATGTAAATGTGGAATACCTACAGTGCAATCTCATTTTAGATATAGAAGAAAACTTCCTACTTAGCAGACTTCCGTAATTATGCAATTTTACGTCTGGATGGGACCCAAGAGATTATCTGCTCCTGGTAATGTCAGAGATGAGGAAACTGAGGCCCAGAAGCTGAAGTGCTGGCAGCCGGTCCCGGCCCATCTTTACACTGACTGCATGGCAATGCCAGAGTGATAATGTCTGGTTTTGTAAAGTGAATAATCAACAATGAATGTGCCTGTCATTGCCACCCATGTTTAATATACTGAGCTTACTTTCAAGAGAGGATGTGAGCAAGTCAAAGTATTAAGAAAGAGAAAAATCTTAACTAAATTGTTCCCAACCCTCCCCTGGCCCTAACACTAATAAAAATGGTAAGAAGCTCATTATTGCCAACTTTAAGAAAAGCCAGGATTTAATCCTGATATTTACAATTTTTACAAAAAAAAATGAGAAGTGTCCCCCCAAAACTAGAAATATCAGAGATCTGGCATGTGCCTTTTACCTAGCCTTTTTTATTTTTTTTCAAGGGTTCATTTATGCAAAATGTAAATACAAGAGGGATGAGACTTCAACGATCATATCAAATATATCACAGAAAAGAACATAGAAGCCTTTTAGTGACTTTGGGCAAGTCTTTTCTATTTTTTCACCTGTAGAGTGGAAAGAGTATTTTTTCAAGCCTGTCTGGGATGACAGTATACCTTATCAATTTAGTAGGTCATGACTGGCATGTTTTGTGCTGAAAAAGAAGAGACTAGAAAGTCCATTCAGACCGCATTACTAGTATTAAGAGCAGGCAAACATCTGTGATATATGGTGTGTGTGTGTGTGTGTGTGTGTGTGTGTGTGTGTGTGTGTGTGTCCAAACATAAAGACATTGGTGTGTGACTGGGTTTTCATGTCGAGTGTATCCTTTACTGTGGGTCATGGTCAAAGAGGTCTGAAAGTCATGGAAGCTACCCACCTAATGTCCTTCTTAGCTCTACTCTCGATTTCTGTATCTACTAGTTAATTATTTTATATACTTTAGTAACTGAAAAGGACTCTAATCTTTTAACTTAATCTGGTCTGTTTATAAATCCAAATTTCTTCTTTACTGGAAGAATCAAAGATAACCTAAGACTGCTGAATTATAAAATTCCAACATAAATTTGCTCAAGCTAACTATTAATTTTTTTCCAAAGGACCTCTGATGTGCATTTTAGGAATTACTGTTTTAATCATCAGGATCGCTTTAGAACAAAATAGAAATATATCCAAATAAAGTTTTCTATGTTTCCCATATATGTTTAAAACCACATATTCTGGAGCAAGACTGCCTAGGTTTGAACCAAAGTCCTGCCACTCCTAAGGTGTGTGACTTTAAGGAGGCTACTTAACTTTTGTGTCCTGCAATTTCCTTGTCTGTAAGTGAGAACAATACACGCCCAAGGGCTGTTGTCAGAATTAACTGAACTACTTTCATGCAAGGCAGGGAGAAGGCTGCCCAGCACACAGTCAATACTTACAAGGATTCGCCATTATCACTACTGTCTTTTCTATTTGATCTCTTCCTGCAGGTTATTTCAAAATTTCCCAAATGCAAAATTATAGGTGTTTAAGAACATGTACTTACATTCCGTTGGCATTTTGAAAACTGACATGAGGTACTTGAATATAATATTTAAATGTAGAGGTTCTACTAAGAATGCAAACATTGCCACTGGCTCTAACATTTTCCCAAAGACACAGACTGAATCCTTACTCAGAACCCCAAATATCTGAAATACAAAGAATTCTTGGACCTTGTGATCATTATGGGATGGAGGGAAGGTAAGAGAAGGAACAGATATGCTCTTAAAAAAAACCCCAAATCTGACTGCACCTGCTGACTATACGTGTTTAAAATGCAGGACACTGATCACTGAATGGTTGCTTCTTGTACCCACAAGGCTGGCTCACCTTTGGGCTGAGAACTATACAGGTTTAACACGGGGATTTTCTGCCACCGGCAGCTTTCCTAGGATGACTAGATGGGCACCCCCCAGCTGGGTCGGCATTCCCCACCCCCAGCTGGCACCTCAGAATCACCTAGGGTGGGGCGAAGCTTTTTGAAGCTCCTCACATGCCTTTCCCATACTCCTCAGGGCATATCCTTGACCTGCTGTTGACAGGTGACGTACCCTTTGTGTGTCCCCAGCTGAGGATCACAGTTTAGGTAACCCTGCTTATCTGGTTTCCACATGAAGTTTCAGTGAGTTGCAGGTGCCCCCAAATGCTAATCTCACGTGGACTCCAGGATCCACCACGTCCTGTCTCAAAGGCCATCCAAAGCCTGCCTTCAAACAAGCACATCAGAACCTCGGAACCAATGCGTTCACGGCAGCCTGTTGCCTTAGTGCCCACAAACATCTCCTATGGGAGCAAGTTCTGGGTGAATGAGGCAGGGTGATAAAGGGCCATCCAGATTCCGATGGAGAGCTTCCGCCCCGATAAGAGTTTCTGGGGCCCCAGAAGGTAGCTGTCCGACTTCACAAAATGTTTGTAACATACCTGCATCAGATCTTGTTTTTCTTTTTCTCCTGAGCTGATAGCCTTTCTGATAGATTTCAGTTCAGTTAGAATGGCTTTGGCTTCACTGAGTTCATAGCCACTCTGGCCTCCAGACATTTTCTTATCAATTCTGTGAAAAGAAAAAAGAAAGAAAGAAAGAAAAGAAAGAGGGAAAGAAAGAAAGAAAGAAAGAAAGAAAGAAAG